CTGACGAGCTCGTTACGATTCGATTTCAACACAATCTTCATTACTTCAATCCTTTGTAATCCACAACATGGGACAAGTCATTATGACTTGCGACAGAGTCAAGAAGCAAACAAAAAGTAGGAAATCAAACAAATGGTTTGCTATGACCACAGCATAGCCAATCGCAGCAATTGCATGCGCTCACTAAAGTGTCGATAAATAATTGAATAGCGACATTCCGGAATACATGGGGGCAAAACAAAGAAGAGGAGAAGGATGATGAAGTCTTGCGTATAGCCGGAGACGATATCAGACATTCTCATCAGAGATGTTTGCATGCTATGATAGCGCCTCGGGCGCAGAGTAGGAATGATTCAAAACGTTTTGGATTATGGATGTGCGACCGCTAAGTAGCTCAATCAAGTTAGCTTCAGAATGAAGCATTTTCATACCGGAAATTTTTCCCATAAGCGACACAAAATTAGGGATCTTCGCAGACAAGACAAGAAGACGGGGAATTTTTTGTCATGCACAAGCAGACACAACTTGGCTCACAATACCCGCGTGGCAGTGGCGGTCCCAAGTCCGAGGGGGGAAGGGATTTTTTTGAATGAAGGAGTGTGGCTAACGCCACGTACTTCAAAAAATTTTTGGGGTGCTTAATTTTTCGAGGGTCCATAACCCCTGAAATCTAGAAAAAGGGGCGTGGCGACAGATTTTAAAGGCTAATTTAAATTTTTTTAATTTCAAAAATTATTTTAATTATTTACAAGAATTAACAAGTCCTTGCACATTTTTACAGCTCATGAAAGTAAATTTCAAAGATTTCGCGACCCATTCACGGGGGGGGGGGGGGGGGGGAACGCGCCCATCCACTCGGACCGCCGCTGCCGCATGGAAGAAGAGACTTCGTAGCTTACCAAACAAATGTTTTGGATAAGCTTCAAGAGACATTTTCGGCGCGAGAGGTGAGGTTGTATTCAGAAAAGGAAAAAACTGCAGCCGAGATGACTTTTGGTGAGAATCTCATGCCATGAATCAGCAGTAGTTTGATGTAATCCCACTCTGATTTGAGACCACAAGAAAAACGTAGCTTAAAGTTATTTACATTAGACATAAAAGGAACTTTTGTCATCACCATAAATCGTCCACTTTCCAAGCTCAATAAACATTTACTTTTTTTCAAACTTACTTATTGGTACGCTCAAAGGCGCATTGCAGCTAAATAGCTTCAGAAAAACAAAGCTTAACTTTAGAGAACAATACACACATAAAGAACACTAAGTACTGAACAAGCCAAAAAGGAAAAAAAACAGAAAAGTACGATAGTTAGGTGACCCTAAGCCAAAAACATTTTTCGAAGCTGTGGAAAATTTTTTGTTTTTTTTCACATTCTTCACTTTCGTACACAAAAGCAGCTTTCTTTTGCTTCCTCATTTTCAAATTATTATACTGATTTGCAACATCATCCGAGTCAAATGTTGCAAATTTCTGAACTGCCTCGAGCTTCAGCACTTTGCATTGTGTGCAATTAGTGAGGAATTTGATGAAACATTGCTGGCACTGAGGATAATAGGCAATTGAAAAGTGAACTATTAAGCGGCAGAATTGCCATTCCGAAGCGCTGATTTGGCTCACGGAAAGTTTTCTATGCAAATTGTGGAAAGAAATCGAAGATCTAAACAAAAGCGCGTCTGCTACCATATAAATTAGCACAGATAATGAAGATGGAGCCAATGAATCACGACATTCAAGTGCAGCATGCAAAACTGATGTTAAAAGATGCAGTACCGAAGTGGCTTTAGACGCATGGACAATTTCCAAACACTAGACTTCCTATGAGTTAATGGATAACCGCCGAGTCAATATAAATGCTGGCAAAAATGTCTATTGGAATTGGCTATTTCTCAGTCGAATCTGAGCAAGAACTTCTCTTTAGCAGTGAATTTTTGCACTCCACCACATAGCTGCCAGCAAAACTCAAAGTGTCTTCTTGAGCATAAGAAAAAACGTTTGGCTTTCCTTTCCAATAGCTTGCTGTTCTTGTTTCACATGCACATGTCTATAGAATCAGATTCGAAAGTAGTAAAAATAGCCTGATACAAAAGTCTTGCACCAAGAATTCCGAAAATTCATAATCTTCTTCAAGTTCAAGAGACGATACATTTTATATAGAAAACCTTGCTCATTATAAAATTGGTTTAATGGTTGGTGGTTTATAATAATGGTTTATAGGTTTATAATGCCGCATTCCGAATGTGAAGCGTGTAAAGTATTTCATCAACTTTCAAAAGGTGTACGGACTGTGCATTTGCGGATTGCCAGTGTTGAATTTGAACACATCTGGCAAATTGCCAGATCACGTGGCGACTTCGCGTGTGCTGTGGGCAAAGCCTAAGTGATTGAACCAAAATTTATTATTGGAAAAACGGAACACAATACAAGCTGATAGAAGAAACACCTCAAAAGTCGATTTTTCAATTTAGGTTGCTAGAATTGCTACAACTTCAACGGCAACATAAGTGGTTTTGCTATTGATTTTGTGACATTCCTTCCTAAAAAAACATGAGTGCTAATTTGACGTTCCCAATGGATAATTACGACTTTCGAATCACTTCATTCTTCTTAGTTCGATAGAAATAAAGTCTCCAATATGTACGACAAAATACAACACTTCATATATGTTGCAAAAACTATACAAGATAATTTGGAGCTGTAAAAATATGTTTTCATATTTTTTGTAAGATTATGTACCAACCCAGAAAACGCAGAGCATGTTAGGTTGTATTGTGTGGTCAAAAATTAGCTCAGAAGAAAATAAAGCAGAAAAATACTAACGATGCTATACCGACGTCATGAAGCTACATGTTATGTAGTGGACAATGTGTTGCAGAGTCGCATCTGTGGCTAAGAGGGAGATAATCTAATCATGTTTTGGTAGTCTTTGACCAAACATAATTTATTCGTGCATTTATAGCGTACCCTCTTTCAACTGGATCACCAACGAGGATACATGATAGATACCATTTGTATATGGAATAGCACTGAGAAAAGCGTAATGGATCTAAAATGAGAACCAAATTTCACAAATATTAGGTTGGCGGAAAATTTCTATTACACTTTTATTCTTTCCTCTGAAAGATCTAAGAAAATTTCAAAGATTCTCACGTTCAAGGAGTGCTGACGAGGTACAAAGGTCTACCTAACTGTGCTGCTAGATTCGTGGTTCGTGCGCAAAAATCTACTATATCGGTGGGAATAATTTTATGGAGTTTTTGTCAACGGGCTAGGATCCTTCCAGGTGATCAGGGAAAGACCAGGCCATGTGGTAATCGGACAAAATGGCGGTACCAGGATTTCCGTCCGGGGTGGGGGGGGGGGCAAAAAAAATTCAAATGAAGGTGCGTGTTGTTAACCACGCACTTCGAAAAAAATTTTGGGGTGCTTCTTGAAATTTTTCCGGGCCCAAGAACCCTAAAATCTAGAATAAGGGGGCGTACACCACGCCCCCGAAAAAAAATTTTTTACAGGGCTCATTTGAATTTTCAAAAAATTTTTAATTATTTTTAAGTATAAACAAGTCATTTGCACATTTCTATAACTCGCTTTAGTAAGTTTCAAAAATTTCGCGACCCATTCTCGGGAGGGGGGGGGGGGGAGACCGCCACTGCGGGCAGGGTATGGTTCATAATTTTTGGCTAGGGGACGGCACAATGATGTCCGCGCACGTTCGCATGAGTTACATGGTGCACGATGTCAGCGACCATTCGCATTTTGACTTGAAAAACAGTTTTTAAAGTCTTACAAAAATTAGTTATCTCTTCCTCTGAACTATACGATGCGTGCAAAGGAAAAATTTTCTGAATTTTTGATTTTATTTATTTATTTTTTTTTACCCTTCGCTTTCAATATGCTAGCGCACCAAAATGAGACAAAAAGATAAAAGAGACAGTGCGAAAATATGCTCTAAAAAATCATAGGAGAGAAAAAACACAGAGACGCAGAGAAGAAAATCGAAGAAAAAATGACAATTTTGGGTGTGCTTACAAAGTCGTCGTAAACATGCTAGCTATTTGTTCATTTGCGGCAACAATCATAACGTTGTGTTCAACCGTCGTGTCCTACATAAAGAGCAAATTTGAAGATTCTGAAGTTTTCAAGGTTTTTCAAAAATTACAAAAAAAATGTAACCGAAATTATCTGCCAACCTAATATATTCGCCATTGATGTAATTACAGTTTGCAGAAGACTTATACTTGTAGAAGACGAAGGAGTAGAAATGGACAAGGGTAATTTTGTACTAACGAGGTTATCCTAGTCCTCGGGAAACTAGGTTACGCAGAGATGTTGCACTTGTGAAGCAATGAAATTATGCATATATTCGCGAGCAAAGCAAGCAGTAGATTGCATTTCACTTTTATCGCTGCTAGCATGTTAATGCTGCAATGTTTTACCTCTACTGGGTGAGTTTTGTAGGTAAATATTCAGATGTAAGGATTATGGAAATAAGGTGGTAACTTCTAACACACGTGATTTTGAGTGGCCGAGCAGCTGCTTTGAAAGGATGGGAAAGCCATTGCCCAAGCTTATGCAAATGAATCAGCGACGGATAAATGAATGTAATGATTCAGCTTTCGAGGATAATACGGCATTCAAAAGCCTCAACGCTCGCCGTGCCGATTAGGGATCTACCCGTTGGCGGTAAATCCTTGGAGCACTCTTGATAGCATATGTAATGATGTCAAAAAAAGGAAATCGAAGTGCTAACGAATTCCAGTAGTAATGTCATCCACATGTCGCATTTCTCCAGTTACGACAAATCTCTCCTAGTGTCATACTATTTCTGCGAAATCGTGCCACTCCATCAACACTCACGTCAGCTGGTCAGTCGTAGTCTGATGGGAATTCCAGGAAGATTGGAAACGTCAGCCAGTGGTCACTGGCCACTGATTTTGAGATCTCTGTCTTTGTTTAACTTGGGCAGACTTGAAAGGAGATCTCATACAAACTCTGTTTGTTGATTACCACTTACCATACTCTTTGTTTACCGATGACACGTTTTTTGATTGCAATCGCCTAGAACTGCAATTTCATTGATTAACCATGTCATCTGTTACAATTTTATAGCTGCTCTAATGGCAGAGAAAGCTGTCCAATTTGCAATGCATCTCTCATGAAATGCAGGTATGCAAAACGTTCGTAAAACTTTTTTTTTGCAAAGCGATATACTTGTTAGCTCCAAATACTGCAACGAGAAGAAAAATTATGCGCATGTAAATAAATTACCGATGAATTAGCAGCGCCTAGACGTCACATATTACATGATACAAAGAATAAAATATCGACGATAAGGCGAGTTGAACGAGGCTATAAACCTCAGATCGAACACAGCAAGAACAGTGTACCATAAGCACAAGAAAATCAGATCAGAACCCAAAAACAACCGACGATAATTTAAAAATAATAAACATACGACAAGTAGACTAACTAGACTACATTTTGATAAGTGCAGCCGAGAACACAGTACAAATAACACATCTGTTCCATATGTACAGCAAACACAAATTGTGAAGGAATAATTGCATCTCCGTTGTAGTAAACTTAGATTCTGGGCCCGTGCATGGACAAATCGACAGGCAAGCTAGTAGCAAACGATTCTAGAGGTTCTAGGATAACCACAGATTCTGAAAGTCTGCTATACGAAAAAGAAAATGCGCAGAAGCTCATGTAACTATTCGATGAAACGAAATTTATACAATACACCAATCTTATGCCCAAAGTAGTCTCAATATGGGCAAATCAGAAAAGAGGGAATGAACGAGTACCTACAATGAGCATCCTGCATTCGATGTTACTATAAGTCACTAGACTAGACAAGACCAACACGCAGATAACAAGGAAAGATTCGGTGTGTATCACATGTTGTGGATAAATTGGAAGTTGCCATGTACTTTGACCAGCAATCAACTGATCAGACCGCGATGACTGCAGAAGAAATTAGCCGCCCTGTCCACACATGGACAGCTGCTCAAGAATGATCTTACATAATTTGGAATATCCTTAGCTTAGGGAGGGGGGGGGGTATTTTACAAGAGGCATTTTCAATGAAACGCGGAAAGTATAATGCCTTGAAAAATCCAAAAACGTATTTGAAACTTAGAGACTGCCCGATACCCGGGCAAAGCTACTCAATTTCCCCCAAGTTGCACTGCCAAACTGACTTTATGGGTCCCGCGCATTCACGATTTCAGTTGCGATGCGACTTGACAATATTCCACTTGCTGATAACTCTCGCAAATTCAGTTTGAGCACACGAAAAATACCGCATTTTATCAACTCACAAAAGCTAAATACATCAAGCATTTGTGGTCTGTAAGTGTCGGGTTTGAAGAGATCTAGCAAATGGCCAGATCTGGCGACTGAAATCGTGGGAGGTATGCCCAGGGCCACAGCCAATATGAGCGATGTACTTGAAAAGAAAAATGGAAGCGCGGCTGACTGAGGCCTGGCATTAGGAAGATTTCCAAATTTTGGAGTTTATGATCCACACGATTTAGAGTTCATGCGCCGTACCACTACTGCCCGCGGTGACTTCTGCATGAGCAATAGGAGGGACAAGCAGCGTGGATATAGATCAAAAGTAGCCGTTCCCCAGTTTGGGCCCAAGTGGTCTCATAAAAAACAAGCGACGGCTTCCCATATCTTTGTGAACGAAAGTATACGGGCTAAAATCTCAGAGACTGTAGACTCTAAATGATAAAAAGCGTGCACATAAATGGAAGCATGAACGGAGATTAGGGCTGCTCATGGAAGCGAAAAGTCGTCGTATTATGGAAAAAATCACGCCATAAGTATTGAATTTGAGACTCCTTGGTTACCTTTCTGCTACGTGAATGCTTTAGTAGTCTAGAAGTTTAGAATGACTTCGGCTACACTGCTAGAAATCCATGTTGAGGGCTGGACACCAGAGCATCTAATTTTTTGCGGTTGATCCTCATATCAAACTTGGAGGCTGTACACTTGGCGAAGCTTCTTCCGTTGAGTCTGCTCCTTTCAGCCGTAGTCGAGTGAAATCCTCGAAAATCAGGTCGTCATCGTCCATTCGCAAGTCATTTCTGGCAAAGGTGAACAGATTGCAGAACGAATGAAAAGATCGTTCGAAAAGAATTGAAACTGCTCACATTTCCTCATTCAACTGTATCAAATCGACTTCCAATGGATCCGGGCCTGCACTGCCCTCTGCAGAGCGGCTGACTATAGGTCGATCCTATAGAAGACACTTGAGTTGTTAGAACACAATATAAGTACAGGGGCTAAAATCGCAGAGATTATGTATATTACCCTTCTTTCCGGAGTTTCTGCTGGTTTCGCGTGTGTAAGCGTGAATGGCAGTTCAGCCACCAGTTCCCCGCCAAGGGGTCCAGCAATGGCAGCACGAATTTTTACTCTATACGCAACAACAATACCAAGACTTTCTTTGGTCGTTGATGGCTCCATTCTAAAACCATCAGTGCATTCAGAGGCGATCAACGTTTAGGAATCTTACATGGTGCTTGAAGCCAAATTCGTATCTTCATGTTTAAGTTGACCATCAAGGGCCAAACCTCTCTTATCTTTGTTGTTTCGCAACAGCGGACATACGGAATACACTTTGGATAGCGTCGCTCCCGGTCCAACAGGAAACCCTTCCCTGAAAATAGACAAAATACACACTACATCGAACACAAACATTATGTGTCTTCACTGCACTAAAGCATGGTAACATTCTAACCAATTTGCAAAAAATGTACGCTTAATAAATTTTCACAATCAAATTCAACTAGCGATGTGAACAACAGTAATAACACTTACGCGCTCTCCACTCGAGCCACTTCGCATGTATACGATGCAGTGGTGAAAAGGCATATGTCGGCAATCTGCACGACACTCACCTGTAATTCATAACTCAATAGAAACGATAGAACCAAAACACATTCCACACGCCCACCTTCAGTTTCTTCACGGACTTGTTGCTGTTATTTTGTATATGGACATTCACGGCTATTGACTCACCATGATAGTACATCTAAAGATACTTCGGTTGGAAAATCTTTGCTTTGAAATACTCTAACCTCTATACTCTAACCTCTTTATCCAGCGATGCTTCCATATGCAGAAGTCCAGCACTCATCATGAAGTCCTTACTAACGTCTGCAGTCGGTTGTGGGCGCGCTTCCCAAGGAGCATAAGTCAGCTTTCGGATTGCTAGTCGCACGCTGCTGCTTAAATCATATTTCATGTAAAAAAATCACAATACCATCAATCTGACTTTAGGTCCCGACTTTTTGAAAGATGGGAATTAAAGTGTAGCAAATGCTAAAATTAGGGACGGACTTTCTGCGCTGACGATCACTGGTATTCGAGTCAGAACTTCCAACAACAGTCTTCAGTTCATAGTCTACTCCACATGGCTTCCCAGTATCGCCAGGAGCAGGCTGAAAAGGCCTCACTTGGTTTTGTAACGCTAGGGTTTAGTGAACAAGTGAACCTGCAATGTGACGCTACTGGCGCTTCGTGGTGGGATCTCAAACCAAAACGGAAACGCCAGATCACCTAGCTTTCGTTTTAACCTCTCCTGTAGTCGCGTTAACGGCCTTGTCGTTTGTGATGGGGTTGGAGGAAAAACCTGGAACCGACCAATGTTAAGAGAAGTTTGCTCCAATGGTAGACACAACGACTCAATACCAAACTTTATTTCCATATCTTCTCATGAAAAGGTAAGCTATAATCCCACTTATTCGGATGATCCTTTGATTGTCATATCAAGATATTGCGTCAACGGATCCGATGATCTTACTCTCACCTGATACTGTTGTGATATCAGATCCTTTCGAAAAGTTAGCCCTAATACGTCCAGGTCTTCTCGTCCATATCGGAATGCCGCCAATAGTGTTGCGGTCACTCGTCGCCCTTCCCGGACCGTCTCCTCGTCTACTAATACCATGCCATCTAGATAATTTCAAAACAATAAACATTATATAGTTAATGAAAGAAAGGGAGCCAACCTATCAGATCAACATAGTCACCGCGATCGATGAAGTCTCGTTTACCAAGGTATGTCGTGATCTGAACATTCTTAAAGGCTCAGCGATAGTTATGCGTGAAGACCCATCATATCACTTCGAAAAAAGGATGCTCGGCATTGTTAAGAACCTCTTAAAGCGACGGGGCATTCAGGCTATAGGCAAACTCCAAAGCGGACGTTTCGCGAGCTTCCAGTTGCTGCCGTGATTGAAAAGTCATTTGAGGGAATTTTTAAGTGGGTTGTTCGATTGAAAACTATTGGCGGATCAAAAATTCAAAAACACTCTTGTTTACCAGGGTAGCATAGAAAACGCTTCTTTCAGTTGTTTAAACTGTCGAATCAAATATTATATTTTTCTATTGAATGATTCTTATTTCCTAGAGCCTAATTTTATGAGCTCTAGGAACCATTTTTGCGTGTAAGGCAGGCGCGAAATGGATGAAGCGGGTAAGTCTGATGCCTGCCTAAGGCGCACTAGTTGCATCACTTAGCGCCTTCAATATATTCATAAACGATAGTTTAAGAAAAAACAAAGCTGAAGAGCTCACCTTTCCATTGGGACTGGTCTTCTTAAAAACCCTGAAATTGAACATCTTGCTATTGAAAAATAGGCTGTGAATTGTCTATCAAGCAAGAGATCTCTGACAATACCTTGTGCCCGTTTTCTTGTCCTCGCCTTCATTGCTTGCCATACCTGGGCGATGTCCTGCACTTCGAGGAGTTGACTCCGGAAGTCGATTTTGAATAAGCAAGCGTTGGCAGCAATGCGTCGACAAGATATCTGACGTTTCAGCGAATAATTAGTGTCACTCGATGATCGTTCGCGCACGACGAACAAACTCAGGCATTACGAGGAGCCGCACAACTTCCGAAAGCTGAAACGAATTACATGAGTTTGAAGTTGAAGTCATCATTGTAGTCCCCCTCATACGAAGGCAAGTGCCAAACGTAATCTAATCATGGCATGAGTCTATGACGTCTCCGACAATCATTCAAATTATAATGAGTTCTAAAGGAGAACTCATCGCGTATGTTCGCACAATCTCATGCTAAAATGCACACACGGCTGCGCTGCTCTAATCATTTGCCATTATCGACGCGAGAACATTCCACTGCCATTCATAAACTCAAAGAAGAGATTTACTTTCACTAGCATAATACTACAGCACGATTTCAAAAAAAAAAAAGATTGCCAATGAGCGATACATAACAAAATGAAATTCTGCTCAGACAGCTCTAAAAACTGATAAGGATCCAGCGTGATTCGCAATTTTGAAGAACTCAAAGCTTCAAAATTGCGAATCTATAGACAAGCAAAATATTGAAGAAAATAAAATGAGGAAGGCTGCAGATGCATGCATTCCTATATCCGTACCACCATAATAGGCTTCACACTATGACGTCAGCTAAGATTTCCAGCTGAGCAGGCAAGTTCATCTAGGATAACGACGGTATTTGTGAGCAATACGGTTAATGGATGTCAAATCCTTCATGCTAAACACTGAATCCAAGCAGGATCAAGCGAACTAGATGAAGTGATATAACACATACCAGTAGGACGATATTGTATTGGGAAGAGCACAAGAAGAAATGCTCCGAGACACGAACACGGCGAGTGGCCCAAGCGAGGCGGCTCGCGGGGATCCGAGACGCGCCGACCCCGACACTCAGAGCGGGATCTTCTGTAAGGCCTAGAAGCAAGCGGGTATGCATACAGCCCGAAGCAACGCCAGAAATTGGAAACAGGCGTACCGCCCTCGCGGCCACTTGCGGTACATGGGAAGAATCCAAAATAGACTACCATGAGGAGCGACTTATACTGACGGGTAGCGCTGAAGCTCCCTCCTGGAGACACTGGGGGTTACTTCCCCGCCAGCGGGAAGCGTCGACAAGGACTGCGTAAAGACACCTACCCCGTCGTGTGTAACCACAGTACCATATTAGCTCGCGATTTCTTATTTCTCGCTTCGCTAATCTCCTGCTTCCTTCGTGCAAGCTCCCATGATTTTAGAAAACTCGATGCACTGAATCCCAAAATGTTGATGTAAGTGATACAAGTTAGACACATTTCTTGTGCATTCACTTTACCCGTCAAAACACTATATGTAGTTGGAAACGTCGGGAAAAGGTCTCACACGCTTCAGCTCGTTGAGCTGAAAGCAAACGGAAAGCCGCATATTGTGACGTTGTGATACACGCTCAACGTCAATGAAGGCAGTGGCTCGGCAAAATGAGACTCATGGTAGAAGAACGTCACAGAGTAGAAGCCCCCATATGGAACCTATAAGCCAAGTTCAATTTCCCACTGCCACTTCTAACCCCCGAAAATCCAAAGCGGAAGGCAGCGCTTCCATCTCCCCCTACCCACCTCTGGCCCCGCCCACCTTGCGATTTCCGTTTCACCGTCAGAGCGCGCATGCCGCAATTGTAGGTGCCAGACTTATCCGACTCGACCGATTCATCCTGTTCACCCCATTCGCTATTGGTCAGTTCAGTGATTTGACTAATAGGGAACAAATAAACCGCATGAATCGGTTGAACCTGAGAAGTCTGGCATACCAATGCTATAAGCGTAAGGCCTAAGGCCCTGGGCAGAGCTCATGCGATTTCGTCGCGTCGCGTCCTATCATTTTGGACAAGTGTTCCATGTCACGCTGTGTAGTGTGTGGGTCCCGACGCGTTTGTGATGGTTACGCGGCGCGACGGATCGCGCCACACTTTTCGGCGTTCATAGCTCACCTAGCGATATCGTCGCGACTTTGCCGAATCGGCGCGATGTCGCGTCGCTCGTTTGCGGCGAGCGACGGGGCGACCGTCGCGCCGATCCTGGACTGCTTTTTCGATGTTTTTGTAATAAGTTGCTATTTTTTGCATGTTATGAGTGTTTTTGCATGAAATGTTGCAAATGCCAAGTTATGCCTATCCTTGCTTTGTTTGATGAGGGCACTTAGTTCCATTTTTCATTTTTTCATATCTTCCAATATACATTTCCCTACATCTCATATCCTAGGCTGCCAAAGAGATCTGTAACAAGCCCTACCCTGTTCGATTGCGCATCGAATACTTGAAGAATGTGCTCACAGTCTACGTAACTCCGAAATATGAGCTTTGCATGAGATAATAACACTATTTTCGTCTATCGTGTGCAGCACATGGGGGACGCTTCTAGGGCTGAAAACATCGTTTTGCCGCGCAACGGTTCCTTCGGAGTGTCCGCAGCCACTGGGCCTTGCTGGTACTTCTTCCCTATTGTAATTAAGCTTCCCAACACACATTTGATTATGAGACGACTTGCACGAAAGTGGCGACTGGGAAGCGACGACTGAGTCGCTCAGTCGCCGGAGGCGTGCATACCTCCGACGCGTTTTCATATAATTGCACAACACTTCACATATTGCACGTACTCTAAATCATTAGTGAAAATCAGTGCTCTCGTTGACTTTACTACATCATTGTCACTGAAAAAAGGTGTAGCAGCAGACGAAGGAAGTTTAGAGGTTTATCACATTAAAACCCGACTTGATAACAATCACAACGTTATACACCCAAATGAGCAACAATAAAAGGAGGAAGTCAACGACATCGTGGTTCTGGTAAATGGCTCACAATCAAATGACTGTTGGGAAGCATCAGTTACGAATAGGGAAGAGGTACCAGCAAGGCCCAGTGGCTGCGGACATTTCGAAAAAACCGTTACGCGGCAAAACGATGGTTTCAGCTCTAGAAACGTTCCCATGTGCTGCACATGATAGACAAAAATACTGTTATTACCTCATGCAAAGCTCATATTTCGGAGTTTGCTCCATACCATAGTCAACATAGACTGTGAGCACATTCTTCAAGTATTCGACGCGCAATCGAACAGGGTGGGGCTTCTAACGGATCTTTTTGGCAGCCTAGTATATATGAGATGTAGGAAAATGTAGATGAATGACGTGGAAAAATGCAAAATGAAGACTAACTGCCCTCATCAAACATTGCAAGGATAGGCATAATTTAGCATTTTCAGTAGTTCATGCGAAAACACTCATAGCCCGCAAAACAACAGCAGCATACAACAACAACATCGAAAATGCAGTCCAGAATCGGCGTGACGGTCGCGCCGTCGCTCGCCGCAAACGAGCGACGCGACATCGCGCCGATTTGGCCAAATCGCGACGATATCGCCAGGTGAGCTATGAACGGCGAAAAGTGTGGCGCGATCCGTCGCGCCGCGCAGCCATCACAAACGCGTCGGGACCCACACACTAAAAAGCGTGGCGTGGAACACTTGTCCAAAATGATAGGGCGCGACGCGACGAAATCGCATGAGCTCTGCCCAGGGCCTAAGGCATACCTCACGCGATTCCGCCAAATCGCCACTTTCACGCGACTTGGCGATCTGCATATTTCTACAAATCTATCGTGCGCGCTTCTCGAACGCATATTTGGGTAGCTTGTGTAAGTCGTTGCAAACGTATCAAGTTCTGACCAAAGGCAGTGCGTTAACAACGAATAACGAAGAGTCGCTGCTGTGCCAAATTGCGTAGCGACCGGAATCGCGCGAGGTATGCCTTAGGCCTAACGGTCCCGCAGCGACTCTGCGTCGTCGCCATGGTGGCTTTGCGTCCACTCGTTTACGTCTGGAAATGATGGTTTTGAAAAATGCTCGTTCTAGCCAATCTCGTGCTTTCCAAGATGAGCATTAGAGATAAGCGCAGCGGAATACCACAGGTAAGCGAAAAACAGCTGCTTTGAGGATTTGCCGAGCCACTGCCTTTGAACCAAAGCTTTGACACGGGTTCGTTCCCCAAACTTCAGGGTATGTTTAATAAATTTCAACTCAGTTCAGGCGGAAATTGGACTGGCGGGAGTTCGCTTCGCAGCGATTCGCGCCGCTTTGCAGTCTGCGACTCTTCATGCTGATCTATCTCGCTGAGCCATTGGCGGTGCGTACGCGCTCCACTTGGAATGTTTCGCTTACTCCGAGTTGAAAAAGACTGTATAGGTCATTCATGGGATCGTGGCAACGAAATTGACCGCGCGGTCTTTGCGCCCACAGGAGCAGAAAACACTCAACAAAGGCATCACCTCAACTCTCAGCTCAGTCACTTCCAATGTGTAATCCTATACTACCATAAGCGAAAACGATACTATTCCACATCAGTTGACCCAAAAAATGAAAATCGTAAATTTCGCTGAAACTTCGTCTAGGGGGGTTATTTGGTATGCTGAACACGAATATGATGTTTATTTCGTGCGACAGCGTCATCCGGTGAAGTTACGGTTAGACTACGGTAAAGGGTCAAAAGCACGGATTTGCCCGAAACTTGGCCCAGAGGGGTTATTCGGCCCACTGATGCCAAATATCACATTGATTTCGAACCGTAGCGTCATTTTCTCGGGTTACGGTAGCCACAAGGTAGCGGGTATAAAACATAGTTCTGCCTGAAAAACGGGTGTAGCGACTGGGACGATCGTGAAGCTCTGCACACATGACCACCGCCGCGCTGCACATCCTGCTGCGGCTTTTGCCTAAGCAAAGCACAGGGGAAAGATACATTTGCCGATTTTTGATTCTGACCTCTACCGTAAACCTACCGTAACCATGCAGGGAGACGTTTTCGTGCGGCGAAAGTGTGACATTTCTTATCAGCATGTCGAATAACCCGTCTGTGCGAAGCTACAGCGGATTTTGAGATTTTGACCCCCTACCGGATACCCGCCGTAACCGGTGAAAATGACGCTATGGTACAAAACCAATGTGATATTCAGCATCAGCGGGCCGAACAACCCCTCTGGGCTAAGTTTCGGGCAAATCCGTGCTTTTGACCCCCTGCCGTAACCCTACCGTAATCCCACCGGATGGCGCTGTCGCACAAAATAGACAT